ATTAAAAAACAATTAAAAAACATTTGATATATCCCCCCCACCACCACCACCTTAATCACAATGTCACAGTTAACATTCAACCCATTTACATACCACAGTTTAGGATTAGGGCAACACTAAACCGTGGTTAATGGAAAATACAAGCAAATGCTTCCAAATTGTTCCTCATGGCCACACAAGAAAAAATGAAGGAAGTGGGGAATGCATCAGCCTGAGGTTTACCCAAAAGTTTGAATTTGATTAGCATTGGATATGGAAGATGCAGATTCAAATCCGCACTTGCCTATTAGGCTCATGGGTTGGACTTGAGAAAGTCACTATCTCTCAGCCTAATTTGCCTCACAGAGCTGATGGGAAACAAACACGTTTCCCTGAGCGCCTTGGTGGAAGGCCAGGACAGAAATAATAAGTAAATAAGCAGTGTGATTGATATTTAAGAATTATGACCCCAGTCATGTGAACTCAAAACTAAGCCTGGGCTCACTCAGACCTATGAGGTGACCTATAGAATCTTAGAATTGTAGAGTTGGAAGGGACCCCAAGTGCCATCTAGTCTAACCTTCTACAATGCAGGCCTGCAAGGAATGACACCATTAATGATGCCTCCAGGAGACCATGTGCAGACCCTAGCTCTAGTCAAAGATGTGAGGTTATTCGGCAACAGCAATTATACATATGAAAAGCCTGGGCAGTTATCTGTGCCTTTTCTTGCCTTTCTTTAAATTAGATAGATTTCTAGATCTGGGTGACTAAGAACTATGGGTGAGATCTTGGCTCCTCTGTAGTCCTTGGCAAAAGTCCCATTTCCTCCAGTAAAGCCAGCATTTCATTCATTCCATGTCTTATCTATGTGTTTGTGCTGCAGACAGTGAAATACAACTAGGGGACACTTAAGCCTGACTTCAGCTACATTAACAATAATTCAAAGGGCAGTGATTCCCCCAAATCATTCCTTTCACAAAAGAGGCAGGCCTTGGCCCTCAGCCTGATCTCTGCGCTAATACTGAATGTTTCATTACCTTATTTTGGCGAATGTATTTTCATCTGTTAGCTTAAATCTGATTCCGAGTAGCCCATGTGGTTCTCACAGCTGGGGGAATTTTGTGCCGTTGATCCGCTTGCTTCCTTCCAATCTAGGCTAAAAATCAATACACTTAAATAAATAAAACAATTGGGCTTGTGTCTACCTCCTGCTGTTTGGGGGTGTAGAGCTAAGCCGAGTAACCAAAGATTAGTTAAGTCATTTGCTTCCTTCTGTAAGGAAATTTAGTGCCAGAGAAACCTGCTAGATTGAAAGTCTATGAGGCTTTATTCCTATGCTTTATTCCTATGCCTCAAGTCACCTCAGGCAGTTGAGGGGCAGCAACAGTAGAGTGAGGAGCCTTGTCTGTTTTGCCTCAAGCAGCAGAATATCACGTGCCAGCCCTGGTAGGGGGCACACTAGGCACACACCGCTCTCTGACAGAGAATGACTCAGAGGGAATGGGTATAGGGGCTGCAGCTACTTCCCACCACCAGCCAGCATTTGCTGCCCAAGACAGCTGTCTCCCTCTGCCCAGTGACAGATAGAGCTGGCCCTGATTCTACCCTGAGTCTCACACCCATGTTAAGTATAATTGTTTAATTGACACTGAAATGTAGAATGCCTGTGTATTGCTAACATGGTTTGTTCGTTTTTTCCGTAGCAGCATACTGAGCTCTAGCTGAGTTAATGATTAACTGAGAATGTTCTCTGCTCTAACCCATGAGTGTTTAACCTTAGAGCACACGATTAAGGTATTCAATTGCAAATCACCATCTTGAAGAGAGTAGCCTGTTAGTTTTTCTATCACAAAGGATGTGATCATGGCTGTCCAGGAGTTGCATAGCCTTAGGCAGGATGTAGCGAATGCGGGCTGGAATGGGAGAGAAAGTTTTGATTTCTGGAACAAGTAAAGTTATTTCTTATAAGAGGCTGAGTCTCTGCTGGACACGCACAAGATATTGTATGGAATTATTTGGATACATCACTTTTTTGTTCTGTTTTGAAGAAAGTTTGGCAAATAAAGTTTTATTGTTGTTGGGTTTTTTGTAAACAATTTTTTATTAATTTTCTATAGTTATGTTTTCGCAATTTAAAACAAAGTTAATTCACATTTCTATCAGATCTAGATTTATACAGATACATTTTCACAAACCTTCTCTTTGAGAGTCTTTGAATCTCTAGGCTTCCCTCCTTACCCTCTTTTGGTTCCTTATACAATGGTACCTCGGGTTGAGAACTTAATTCGTTCCAGAGGTCCATTCTTAACCTGAAACTGTTCTTAACCTGAAGCACCACTTTAGCTAATGGGACCTCCTGCTACTGCCACACCACCACTGCCCAATTTCTGTTCTCATTCTGAAGCAAAGTTCTTAACCCGAGGTACTATTTCTGGATTAGCGGAGTCTGTAACCTGAAGTGTCTGTAACCCGAGGTACCACTGTATAAACAAACTTCTGCTGCATTTCCATGCTTATACTTTTCCAATTATTATTTCCCTTAATTTTATCTAATTTTCTGCTAGTTGCAAGTGTTTACTTAAAATCCTGCCAACGTATCAACTTGTTTACAGTATTTTTGCACATAAACAATAAACGATTCCCAATCTTTTTTAAGCTTCTCAAGTTTTGAGCAATACTTATGGGTCTGTTTTATTCCAAAAGGAGTCGGTTTTTATGCACCCAGCTGCTTCAAGCTGTGCAAAATTAGTATCCGCAATAAGCCACTCACAGCAATTCTGTTTAAGGGATCCTGAAGGAAGGCTAGAAAGTCCATTCTGCTATTGATCCTACCCACCCAAAGGCTGCTTAACTGTGCCTTCTGACACAAATACCTGAGGAACTAAGAACTAAGCACCAACCACCAACACCCTTCACTGTCTCTCTCTCTCTCTCTCTTACACACACACACACACACACACACAAACTCAGAGCTTGCAACAAAATTGTAAGAAATGCCAATAAAGAACAGGCATAGTTTAACCACTGTGTGAGCAATAAAATCAGGATTAATTGCGAATAAGCAGGTGGCCTGCAGAAGCCGTACAGTTCCTGGAGGCTGCTTGGTTTTTTTTAATGTATCTATGTGGGGTTTTGTTTCTTTGGGGTCTTCTGGTTGTGTCATGGGCTTTGAATTGCCTTTGGCAAGAAAAAGCAACCAATAAATCATCTTCTTCTTCTTCTTCTTCTTCTTCTTCTTCTTCTTCTTCTTCTTCTTCTTCTTCTTCTTCTTCCCTGGTAAGAGAGACAGAAAGAAAACACACAACTGAGTGATAAGGAGATACTGTATTTTAGGACCTCTTCTTGAAAACACTGGTAGACTGGGAGGATCCAGAAGACCCCAAAGTCGATAAAATTGTGTTTCAGTTGATCTGTGCTTGCAAGTGCAGAATATCTTGTGGGCTTCGTGACCAGCGTAGAAGAGGACAGTATTTCACTTTAGTGGTAAAATTAGCTATTGATCAGGTTCTGTTCAGTTCAGCAGTCTGCACCAGGAGAACCCTATCCCTGCATATTGCCTCCCTATTTCTGTGCCCTGTTTGCTGTGACTGCAGTTGCAAGAGCTAAATTTTGCCTGGCCTACTGCTACTCCCCCCCATCTCTCCCTGCCAGATCAAGAAAGTGATCCATGTCTAGCTGTTGCAAGTTCTGCTTTCTAGTAATGTAGCTGTTTACTACCCTTCCCTTCCCAGCAAACACACACACAACTGCTATAGGCTTCAGTCTCCTGGTTGTTATTATTATTATTATTTGTTCTTGCCTGTGTAATTCTTTCCCAGTGGGTGACTCATTGATTTTGTTTGTATTGGGCCCAGTTCCAGCTGCTGCAGTTCCTTCTCCAAGACGGGCTGCTCTTTATTGCGAAGTCCACAGCAGGAAGGCAAACTCCTCCTCCGTTCTGCAAATGAACTTCTGTAAAAGTCCCTCTTCCGCTCTAAATTCTAAGCCAGTGCCTTTCCGACACCCATCTGCACCCCTTGGCTACCGAAGGCTGTGCTGTTTCAACATTTTTAGCTATATTTCATCCAGAGTGCATACTTGACATAACGGGTATACAATGAGGAACCAACGGCAAATACTTGCCTTCATTTTTTCCGCTTGATGCTTCCTAGCTACAAACTCCTTATTTATCTTGGCTCTGCTTGACTAACTTCCTTCTTTATATCCTTGCTAGCCTCTATGCCTTAACCCACACTCGGATTGCCGTCTGCCTCTTCTGATGTTTATCCTCAGGGGCCTGGAAATCTTGGGGGAATTTGTCCCCTCTTCTTTGGTTGGGAATGAATTGGACGCTCTACAGATTTGAACAGGGCCTTTTGCCTCCACAACAGCTGCATAGCAGACAGTAATTTTGTAGGACAGTCTTCCCCCATCATGCAATGACCAGACAAGCTTGAGCTGCTGATTTTTTTAGCTGCCATGCAACTGTTAAAAGCACAACAGCCCTACTCTGGCAGGTGGGCTTTACTGGTCCCCTGGTTTTTCTTCAGCTCAAGCACTTAAGCCAGGCTTGGGGAAAAGGAGACCAGTGGCAAACACTCTTCTTTAGAGATCAGGTGGAGGAAGAATTATCCTACCTGGATGAAATTCTAGGCACATACAGATTCAGTCATTCACCAAAAAAAAGCAGAGAAACTTCAAGCTCAGGCAACAGCATCTCTTGTCTCCTGGAAGCAGGAAGCACATCTGCAACAGTGGTAGCCAACCTTGTGCCCTCGAGATGCTTTGGGCCACAATGCCCACCAGCCCTGTCTGTTGGCCGGGTGAGCTGGGGCTGATAGCAGCTGCAGTCCAAAAGTTATGGCAGGCGCCAAGTTGGTTTCCCATGTTTCTGTAGTCTTGCATATTTGTGTTCACTTGCAGGAAAAGTGAATTTAACTTCTCGCTTCTCAAAATAATTTGCAGTGGAGTCCTTCCTGTCAAGGATGTTGGAGCAGTAGGACAGGGTTATCACTGTGGTAGCACCCTTTTGTTGTGATGGTGGGACCCACAAGATGCCTGCGGCAAAAAGATTTCCATTTGGACTTCCATACAAACTAATAGAGCAACTTACTTTGTCTTTACAGGTCACAGCCAAGACTGCCTTCTTGTTCATCTTACCTCAGTATAACGTCAGTGTGCCTACAGCAGGTAAGGCAGCCTATGCATACCTTGGTAGCACTTTGGTGGTATTAAACCCTGCAAGCTATGAGCCCTGGATTTCCCATTAGCTAGGTTTGTGTCACCACCATGACAGTCCAGCTTCCTTGTGATTATATCGCCTGTGGGCCTTGCTCTCCCTCCATTTATCCCATAAATGGGCAGGGTATAAATAATAAAATTATTATTATTATAACCGCATGGTGAGGGAATCTGTGGCCCTCCACAGGGGGCATGAAAGCACCTCCTACCACCCCTGCTTGGTTGCCTCACCCCAGAAATTTGTTAACAAGCCCTGCATGTTGGGAATGGGTTGTGACATAAAAGGAGACGGAGGAATGCTCATTTTACGTCCCCTTTCCCCATCCAGCCCCAAGTCCATCCAGCTCTCAGGCCAGATGTTTAACTTTTGCTGGAAAAGTGAGGGACTTCTCCCCCCCCTAACCTTTCCCACCTTATTGTCAACATGTCGTCATAAAGGAAAAGCTTTTAAGTCTGTTTGGCTTAGGTGTGTTCGGTTTATTTGTTTATTAGATGGTTTCCAACCTCCTATGAATATCTGAGCAGCCAGCAGTAACATGGGAGACAGGAGGTGGGCGGGTGTGGAGGACTCCCTGGTCCTGAATGAGGTAACTGTGCCCCTGAAGGACCAGGTGCGCAGCCTGGGAGTCATTCTGGACTCACAGCTGTCCATGGAGGCACAGGTCAATTCTGTGTCCCAGGCAGCTGTTAATCAGCTCCATCTGGTACGCAGGCTGAGACCCTATCTGCCCGCAGACTGTCTCGCCAGAGTGGTGCATGCTCTAGTTATCTCTCGCTTGGACTACTGCAATGCGCTCTATGTGGGCTATCTTTGAAGGTACTGCAACTAAACCAGAATGTGGCAGCTAGACTGGTGACTGGGAGCGGCCTCTGAGACCACATAACACCGGTCTTGAAAGACCTACATTTGCTCCCAGTACGTTTCCGAGCACAATTCAAAGTGTTGGTGCTGACCTTTAAAGCCCTAAACGGCCTTGGTCCTGTGTACCTGAAGGAGCATCTCCACCCCCATCGTTCTGCCTGGACACTGAGGTCCAGCGCCGAGGGCCTTCTGGCGGTTCCCTCGCTGCAAGAAGCGAAATTACAGGGAAACAGGCAGAGGGCCTTCTCGGTAGTGGCACCCGCCCTGTGGAACGCCCTCCCACCAGATGTCAAGAGAAAAATAACTACCAAACTTTTAGAAGACATCTGAAGGCAGCCCTGTTTAGGGAAGCTTTTAATGTTTAATAGGTTATTGTATTTTAGTGTTTTGTTGGAAACTCAGCCAGATGAGTGGGGTATAAATATTATTATTATTATTATTATTATTATTAATTATCTGGTGTCTAAGGCTAGACTACACAGTAGGGGAACATGCCAAGTTCTCTGCAGTTTTCATTTTGGAGAAGCAGCTCTGCATGGGTGAGACTGAAAGCAGAAGAGCTGTTTACGTGGAAGGCTGAACAACCCCTTTTGTTAGCCCATCAATTCTCCACTCCAGGTTGTTCCTCCCTGGCCCCCTTTTGTGGGTTTCAAAATTTGTGTGTATGTTTGTGCCATAGGAAAACCTACTGGGGTGCTGATATGGAGCAGGGAAACAGATGGACTGAAGAAAGGGTTAAGCATTCTTTCCTCTCGGCCACAGTCCCCTCCCCGGGTGCTGCTTTCTAGCGAAAAGCCACCATTAGGCTTCTAACGTGTGTTTGCACAAAACATGCAGTAACTCCTTGAGGCTGAGAATGATGTCTGTGCTTCCAGGACACGTCACGTGAAATGCCGCAGTTTTAAGCAATGTACAGTTGATGAGAACCATAAGCTTAAAACCACAAGACGAAGCAAAATGGCAAGAGCAGCAAAATGCGAGTGCAGCAGTGCAACCCCAGGGGAAGCTTCTGCTCCCACAAATGTCCACCCGGGGCATTGGCCTTCTCAGGTCCTCCTGGCACCCTTCCTCCTCCTCACCTGCGCTGTGGCAAGCCTGCCCAGTTCTTTCTGCAGGAGGCGAGGGAAAGTGGGTGCAGGCAGGTGGGGGCGAGAGGCAAGAGGTCCCACAGTTCTCTGCACCACTTGGAGACTTAAGGGGCCGCGCTCATTATCAAGGGAAGAAAAAAAAAGAGAGAGAAATATTTCACTAAGAAGGCCCTCTTTGAACTTAGAGCAGCATTGCTTTCAGTTCTGCTGCTCTGCCTGTGTGCTCATAAAGCACTTCCAAACGGAGGTGCTCCCTCAGGCCTTCCTTCTGCAGCTGTGGAAATACCCAGCTTGAGTCACCCACTTCACAATGTGCCTCGCTGCTGCTGGGGTCTTTGGCACGTGCCCTGAACCACAGCTCTTCAAGAAAAAGAGTGTGGGCTGGCTCTGGATGCTTTAGGTCTGACTCACTTGACAACCTGAGCCTCATATTCAAATGATCCCGTGCTGATGCAAAGAGCTAGATTAGCAACCCTGGAGACTGGAGGCTTTCTGTCTGTCTATGCATTGAGATTGTACAGTCTGCTCTGCTGGGGCAGCGCAGTATAAACTTAGCTGCCCGTGTTACAATTTAATATCTCCAGGCTGGTGACAGTAATTCTGAGAAGAGATGGGTCTCAATGGAGGCTTCCTTTGAAATGCAAACAACAGACTCAGGAGTAGTAAAGTTGAATTTTCTCACCACCACCTTCTCAGACTTCCCCATGGCTACTATTTGCGTAACAAAAAAGTGCACATTAATCTAGGGTCCTCAGTTGCTGGTGCAGGGGCTACCGGGTTCAGGTAATTATCCCTGGTTTGTAATGTTAACACCCTGCAATAAAGAACCAAGGTACTCTGGGGGGCTCCAAAGGCACTTCCCACTTTACCTTAGAATATCTGACTCCAAATATACATACCTCATGCCTGTTGTGAATGGAGGGGGCACACTTTAAAATCACTACTCTTCAAGGGTGCAAGACACATATGTGGAGGTTAACTTGGAAACCAAGGCGATCTTGAGTGGGGTGCTGGAGGGCTTGTCCTAGGACCCACTGTAGGACATTTTTACAAGCTGACATGTTGAGAGATGTTTGTCACATGTACAGAAAAGCTGGAAGGGTAGCTAACATCATAGAAAGATGGAGTCAAGAGGTTAAAGCGCTCTTGGCAGACTAAAACTTGGGATGCAACCAGCCTTAAACGGTGAGTCATCAGTGCAACAGGGCAGCTGATATGGCTAATGCATTTCTAGACTCCATCATCCGAAGTGCTGTGTTCAGGTCATGAATAGGCATTGGGTCCTGTCTGTTTCCCTTTGGACATTCCATACCACAAACTGGGAGAATGGGCAGTAAAATGGCAAATGCAGTTCAATGTAAGCAAGTTCAAAGTGAGGCACACTGGGCCAAAAACAAATCTAGTTTCACGTACATGCTCATGGGGTGTGAACATGGGGTGACAACCAGGTACGAGAGTTTAGGGTCATAGCTGCTAGCTTCTCAAAGATGTCGACCCAGAGTGTGGCAGCTGTGAAAAGGGCAAATTCTGTGCTAGGGATCATTAGGAAAGGGGTTGAAAACAAAATGCCCAATATGATAACAGCTTCATGCAAATCCATGGTGTGAGCTCACTTGGAATGCTGTGTGCAGTTCTAGTTGTCTCTCCTCAAAGAGGATCCTGCAGAACTGGAAGAGGGCAAGAAAAGAGCAGCCAAAATGATGAAGGGAATGGAGGACCTCTGTATGGGGAAAGGTTCGAATGTTGGGGGCTTTTTATTTTATAGAAAAGGCGAGTAAGAAGTGATGTCATTGAATTAAGCCTGTTGTAGAGATAGTGGATGGGTAATTTTTTCCTCCCTCTTTCAATGCTTAAGGAACATTCAATGAAACTGTTGGAAGATTCAGGACACCCCCAGAAAAGCACTTCACACAGCACATAGTTAAACCATGGCATTCCCTCCCACAAGTGTCAGTGGTTGGCTGCCAATTTGGATTATTTATAAGAGGATGGGACAGATATATGTACCCAGTGGCTATGTACCCTGAGAGCTCTGTTTCTGCCTCCGCTGTCAGAGGTACTGGGCCTCTGAATTTCAGGCGCTGGGAATCACAGGAGGGCCAAGTGGGGTTGTGATCAAGGTCCTGCTGGCTTCTCATGGGCACCTGGTTGACCTTTGTGAGAACAGAGCGCTGGACTACATGGGCCTTTGGTCTGCTCCAGCAGGACTCTTCTTACGTTTGGGCACAAGTGTTTTAAGAAGGGCATCGACAAACTGCAGTGCGCTCAGAGTAGGACAGCAAGATGGTGAAGGGTCTCAACACCAAGTCCTGTGATGAATGGTTGAAAAAGCTGAGTTTAGACTTTCAGGGGAGACACAACAGTCATCTTCAAATGTCCCACGGAAGACATATTCCCTTTGTTCCAGAGAACAGGATTAGAACCTGTGCAGGGAAATAGATTTTGGCTAAATATTAAGAGAGAGAAGATGGGTGCTGCTTGACTCCCTTGGAAGGTGGGGAGCTCTCCTTTGCTGGAGGTATTTAAGCAAAAGCTGGGTGCCCATCTGTTGGTGATGCTGCAATCGCATCCCGCTTTACAGATCTTGCACTCTGTGATCCCAAGGTCCCCCTCCTTCCAGTTCAGTGGTTCTGTGCCCCTGCTTCTATATTAGGATTGCAAGTTGTTTAGCTTCTTGGTTCTGTTTGCAAAAACCCAGACATCATGCCGAGTTTTTAAAAATCCCCCCGGATGGTAATTTTGCCCTTGGAATCCTGGACATGTCCAGGAAAAGCCAGACATATGGCAACCCTGTTCTATATGTCATGACAAGAAAGTTGTAATGTCAATGTACACCCTCCATTCACAGCTGACATGAGTTGTGTAACAGTTCTGGTGGATCCGTACACAAGGGACAAATGTAAAATGAGAAGCAGCCCTGAGCTGGATTCTGCTGCTAACTGTCTTGGGTCATTCGCAGGTCACTGTGTTTCGCTATGGAACTGTGATCTCGACCCACCACAGTCATTTACCTGGGGATGAAAAATAGGTGAGTTGAGGACCCTGGTCTTCCCAGAGTCCTCTGAACTACTTCACCTTCTGATTGGCCCCCCTGCCTTCAAAGAACATGGCAATAAATCCGATGATGAAGGGAGTTCATGGGACACTTATCTCAGAATAGCACCCTTGCTGCCGAGGGGTGGGAAGGAGATGTAAATGTGTGTGTGTGTTGAGCTGTCCACATCTGTTCTGCATTCTGGTTAAGTTCAGTTCTTCTAAACTCATGGTGGTCTGTTTCTGCTTCTTGCCAACATTTGAGCTAATTCTTTGTTACTTAAATCCTGCCTCTTAGCGGGTGCCTTTAAAAGTTTGATCCCTATATGGCTTCCCAGCTTAACTCTTTAATGTTAATCTCTTCCTCCCTTACCCCACTCCTCTTCTTCAGATGGTGAAATTGTTCTTTATCACTACGGGCTGAAGGATTTGGTCACAATCCTCTTCTACATCTTCATAGCAATAATTCTGCATGCTGTGGTGCAGGAGTATGCCTTGGACGTAAGTCTTGCTTTTCATACAAGCTAGCCAGTACCTACACCACTCCCTTGTGCTGTGGGCAGTAGAATATTTCAGATTTACAGTTGCTTTTTACAGTGGCCCCATGGCTCCAGGAAAGTATTTAGTCCCGTTTTCTAGAAGGTGAAATGGACTTGAAGAGTGTTACGGAAAATCTGGGTGCAGGGCTATTCTGCCACCCAGCTCGTCGGACTAAGTAAGTCCGCGGGTCCCTGCGGAAGAAAATGAGCTCAACCGGACAGGAGCAAACTGCAGGAGATCCAAGTTTATTGCGCAACAGGTTCAAGACAAGATTGAACCCCGAGGAAGGGGTGACATGAACTTTTGAAACTCCCTCCATATCCCAGAATACAGTGCAAAATACATCCCAGTTACATCATGAATACATTAAGAGGTTGGGTTACACAGATTAACATATGGAGGAGGGAGGGGGGAATATGCAGAGAGCTGGATGGAGGAGGGAGGGGGGAATATGCAGAGAGCTGGATGGAGGAGGGAGGGGGGAATATGCAGAGAGCTGGATGGAGGAGGGAGGGAGGGAATATGCAGAGAGCTGGAGATATGCGCAGATAAGCACATCCTGAGAAGACAATGGTCCATGTTTGCATAGTCTGTCACCTGGCATCGCCCGGAGGAAGGGCTTGGCAGATGGAAATAAATGGATATATTGTAGCGAAGAAGAAGGTGAAGAAGACATGCCCCCCCCCCTTCCGTATCAAGAGGAATGTTACGCTTTGTTTCTCATTCAGCTTTTACCAAACTGGGGGACTGAATTGGTGTCCTTGTGACAACTATAACTTCCCTCTCTTAACTTTCAAGTCTTCTTTCTTTCTTTCTTTCTTTCTTTCTTTCTTTCTTTCTTTCTTTCTTTCTTATTTCTTTCCTGGCTGGAACAAGTCAGTTGCCTTCTCAGGACTGCTGCTTGTTCCTCAGGTTGGGTGAGATTTTCTTTTCTTTTCAGTGTTCTCCTTTTGGGGTCCCTCTAACGTCTTCAGGCTTTTTGTGGCGTTGCTCTCTCCTTCTTCCTCGCTGGGCCTTGTCTCGTTTTGCATTTTAGGGTGGACTGACTGCACCCGCAAATAATGGCTGCTGGTTATTAAGCCAAGTCAAAACATCTGGTGGACCCTTTTTGGTATCCTCTGATCACCTGATTTGAACTTTCCAGGGCTGGCATAGTGACATGCCAAAAAGAAGCTTTGAGCTACTGTCTCTTGAGGACGTAGGATGCTTTGTTTTTTCTTCCAGTCTTGCTGAATTTTTGTTTTCTTCTAGAAAATCAACCGGAGGCTCCACCTTTCCAAGATCAAGCACAGCAAGTTCAATGAGTCTGGGCAGCTGGTAGCATTTCATATTGCCTCCATGGCCTGGTGCCTATATGTACTGGCAACGGTAAGCTTCCTTTAGAAAGACGGGTGTGAATTTATACATGGGGGGCTGCAGCTTGCTTTCTCTGCTCTTCCCCTTTGCGCACATGTGATCGCATTACGGGGAGTGGCCAAATAGGGTCACCTTATTCATGGCACCTCTTAATTCAGGATGTGGGTCTGCTGGTAGGACTTAGAGGGAATGGTTCAAACTCTCCCCACATACACTGCTGACTTGCAAAGTGTATTGATGTCCACTTGCTATTCAGGTCACATTCTGAACCTAAAGTGGGAATTGTATGACATATCAAAACAAGTATTTTGGTATAGAAATTCAAAATCTGGCTCTGTGATGGACCTCAGACAGTTTTAAATCTGTATGGGTGCAATTTTTAAAAATTAAAGTTCACACTGGGCCACATCTCAGGTTTTATTGTTAGTATATAAAAAAATAACAGCTTAGGACCAGATTACATGAAGGACCACCTTGCTCACTCAAACATTTTGATCTGCAGAACTTGGACTCCTATGCATGCCATATACTGCTTCATTCTGTATCTGTGGGGAGTCTCTATTTCAGTGTGGCAGCACCTCTGCTTTGAATCTCCCTCTCCCCCCTTAGAACTTACGGTTCGGCAGGTAAACTCGCAGAACTGTTTTAGATGCCTGTTAAAAACTTTCTTCTTTCTACAAGAACTATCCGGAGATATAACTTCATAAGTACTTTTAAATTTGAATTTGTATATCATTGATGATTATTCTGTACATTGATTTTCTAAGCAGTTGATATATTTTTCCTACCAATCCCTTTTGCACCTTGAACACAAGGGAGCGCCAATGTTCTAAAATGAATCTGGGGTTTCTGGTTACTTTCTTCAGTCAGCCCAGATACCGGGGTGGGGTTTTCTGATATGCAGGCTCCACAGATGTTGTTAGCCTACAACTCCATCATCCCTAGCTAGGAGGACCAGTGGCCAGGGATGATGGGAGTTGTAGGCCAACAACATCTGGGGTCCCAAGGTCGAGAAAGGCTGTCCTAGAGAATGGCTTCCGGGTTGTTTTGCCCCAAGGCAGACGTCTCCTACTGTGGTGTCATTTCTTTCATCAGTGCAGCAGTCGGAGAGGCTGATGCCATGCTGATGCCATCAGGCCTTTGGTCAGGGCGCAGCCTGACCCCCTCCTCTGGCAATCTGCACAGAATTGCTTAATGGTTGCCATCAATTTGATTTTAATTTGATTTTAATTAATTTTATAATGAATGTTTTTAGAATGTTGGATTATTTTGATTGTTGTTAGCCGCCCTGAGCCCAGCTTCGGCTGGGGAGGGCGGGATATAAATAAAATTTATTATTATTATTATTATTATTATTACTTCCTTCCATGGCCATTGTGACAGGCAGTGAGCCTATCTCCAAAGCAAAGGAAGTCCATGTGACCTTGTTCCTTAAGGAAGTCTCCTTGGGTGGTCTGCCTGCAGCGCCATCAGACTACTAGCCGCTGCCATTTCCTGTTGCCACGTGTCTCCCCGTGGTTCCATTTCCACACGGGTTGTGGCACGGACCTGAGGGCAAGCACTTGGCTTGCAACACAGAGTACAGCCAGTGCTTTTGGTCTTCTCAGATACATGGCCTGCCACTGCCTCCTGGGGTGAGGTCATAACGAATGCCAGCACACTTGCTGGAACTCCAGTTGCAGCATAACCATACCAGTTATGGCTTTTACATTGAATGACTTTGGTAGAGGTACTGGGCTGGTCTCATCTCGAAATGTGTGGGAAATTGATCCCAGTGTTGCTGGTTTAAATCTATTTGCAAATGGCACTTTTGAGGGGGGCAGATACTTCCCTGCAGGTGAGCCCTCGGGGGACCTTCAGAAGGAGAGGTGGGGGTGAAGTGGGGACCTGGTCCCATTTCTCAAACCTTCTCTTCAGCCCATCTGCCTCGAGAAAGAAGCAGCGGGATGGCTTTTATCTAAGAGGCTTTGTCAGCCAAGCTTCTCTCCCTCTCCATCACACCCGTTTATGCCCAGATTGCTTAAGCAGGGCCTGTTGTCTCCTGAGTAAACATCTCAAGCTGTTTCTGTGCCAGCGCTGATGATGCCTGGCTGAAGGAGGCTTCTCTGAGCCCTGAAACTCGTGTGTGAGTTTTGCCCAGCAGCCACTTCCGTCCTCTGCAGCTGTTTTACCATCTGGCTGAGTGTTGGGATTTGCATTTGTGTGTGTATTGGAGAGGGGCGTTTCTTTCCTGTTTCAGTACCCTGGTCTCAAACCCTTGGTGAGTTAGGGACTTCCCCTGCATGCAAAGTCAAGCTGTGGCAGATTGAGCAGCGGTCAAGAAGGCAGCTTCCACACTTGCTGTTTGCAGAGGGAAATGAGGGGCAGATGGGGTTCATCAACCTTGGAAGATTGCCTATCTAGGAGGAGGAAAAACGCTGAAACCTCCACTGCCTTGCAGAATATCTTCAGGAGAAGAAAAGGCTCAGGAGTAAACCCTATGCTCATCTAGAGTGGAGTCCCTAAGACAGTTGAATGGCGCCCTGTATGCTTCCTTCCAGCAACTCCTGCAGCCAAGCTGGGGCCAAACATATTGCTCTGCTTTCCTTTGGACCACATCACAGGGACCAAGAGGGGAGTCTTGTTATCTGGACAGCCCAAGACCTCCAGACACACTGCCAAGACTTGAGCCCCAGGGGGGTCACTTTGGTGTTGCTAACACAGTGGTTTGACTTCGTCCCCAGACGCCACTCCATTGTGCCTCAAGACAGACAGAGGCCAACAACCAACCCCACTCGTCTGCAACTGCTGTTGCTGAAAAACAAGGGTGCACAACCTGTGGCCCTCCATTTGTTGCTGAACTCTGCATCCCATCAGCCCCTGCCAGCCTGGCCAGGTAGTCTGGGCATTGTAGTCCAACAACATCTGGAGGGCCGCAGGTTCCTCACACTTGTCGTAGAAAGAACTTCTCCATCTTTTGCTTATTGTACAAAGAGAAGGTATCTATATTCTGCAATAGCTTGGAGTTGTCACCTAGACATATCAACTTTAGCAGAGGCGATGGGGACTTGGGCAGCTGTTTTTTAGCCAGACTTTGCTGTTAACTCACCCTTCTTCCCCACTCCCTCTCTTACTTTGTGTGTCTTCCTTCATTTCAGGAAGGATACTTATCAAACCCCAAGAGTCTGTGGGAGAACTACCCTCATGTTCATCTCCCGTAAGTAGCCACAGAGTACAACCACTTCCTTCCTTGTTGGTTTATCTGAGGTCAGGAGTGAGTGATAACAGGAATAAGGGTGAATTGAGTACTTCAGTTGCATCTTCAAACCGGCCAGAAGTGATCTTGCAGCCCCCTCCTGTGTGCAATGCTGATATTGCAAGCTTAATCCTTGTCCTTAAGAACCTGAGGCAGCCTTGCTGGCTCCTACCAAAAACCTCTCTGCTCCAGGACCTTGTTCTCACAGTGGCCAACCAGATGTCCCAGTGGGCAAGCAGGACATGAGCTTGAGAGCCTTCTCCTCTCCTGCGCTGGAATCCCCAGCAATTTGTATTCAGAGACATACGGTCTCTGCTACTGGAGGCAAGACATAGCCATCAGGACCGGTAGCCTTTCCTCCACAAAATGATCTCATCTCCTTCTAGAGCTTTCCAAGTGGCCAACAAGCACTATGACTTGTGGTAGTGAATTCTGTTGTTAGACTTGAAGGCAACCATTTTATTCCAGGGAATGGGGCGACTTCACTTTCCTTGAAGGAGTGTGCTTGTGCCTCCAAACTGTCTATGGGCAGCAACTCTGCTTCATAAATGCTCTTGCTCCCCATGAGGCCAACTCTTTTCCAAGGAAAAGGAAACCGTCTGCCAATAGGTGTTCGGAGGGGCAGTCTACAGCAGGGGAAGAACGGACTGTGCATTGTCCTGGGCGCTTCTTAAAGGATTGTGTCCCAACCGCAGGAAGTTCATTCCCAAGTAATCCAGACAGCATCCTTAGCAAACTTCAGGTCCGTTTTTCTGCTCTTGTGTCTGTTCGCAAATCCTGATCTTGATACTTCTCTTAGGAATGTTGGGGTCAAGCACACCTTTCGACCTTCCAGTTCCAGAGAAGTACTCCTTAGATTCTCTCTGATGTATCAGGCTTTTCCCCCTCCAGTATTAATAATGTCATGTCATCTCAAGAAGGGTGTTTTCTGAAAAGAGCCCTGAAAGGTTCGACCCAGCCAGATAAAAAAGATTGTGTTGATTCTACACCCGTATGGAGTTCCTTTTGCATTCTGAGAAATTGTGTCTGGTTCTTGAACTAAAATCCCATATTACATTTTATTTTCCTTACATTTTATATCTCACCTTTCTCCTGTTGTGGAACCGAAGGTGCCAAGCTGTGGTCACCCCTAGATCAGGTGCTTTCAGACCACACCCTGACCACTGTACGAATGTAAGGGAAATGATGACATTTCCTTTAACGGTGATTTAAGTGCACGCATAATGGCATGATGATGGGTCTGTTTGAGATACTGGTGTGTGTTAAACGTGCTGAGAATTTTCAAGAGGCCCACATTCCTCCCTCCTCCCCCGCCCAGCGTGAGCTACAATTCTTAGAGTGGTGTAACTATTGATCCCTCTTTGCAGGGAATTCTGGGAGTTGTAGTTCTCAAAAGGGAACAGGAGTTCCCTAACAACACTCGGCTCCATTAACAAACTACATGTCCCTAGATTATTTGGGGAAAGCGATGACTGTTTATAGTGGCATGATACTGCTTTAAGTGTATTGTGCAGATGGGGCCTCACTTCCTTTATCACTCACCATGGGTGACATCCCATCTTACCTGCACTTAAATGTAATTTGGGCAGGCGATGAAGGAATTGAAACGATAAATTTACAATTTTGCTCTCAACTCTGGTATTCATACTTTTTCAAGGCAATTCCACGGAAAAAAACCTGAAGTATCAGTATTCATATCTTGATGGGTGCCAGTACAAAAAAAAAGGAACTAAAAAAAGAGGTGACAGTATTTCATACCCGTGAATATCATCACAAAAAAGCACTGGGTTTTAACCTCATTCTTCTTGGGGAACAAATCACTGCCTGAAGGGTTTAATATGCTTTTGAGAATTCTTGGAGAATAGATGAGCTCCCTACAGACTGGAGGTGGGCAAAGGTTGTCCACAACTTCAAAGCGGGGGGGGGGGGGGGACACACCCAGGTAACTACCAGCCAGTCAGCTTGACGTTGATACCAGGAAAGATCCTAAAACACATAATCAAACATTCAGTTTGCAAACACTTAGAAAAGAAGGTTGTGATTACTAAGACTATTCATGCCAGACTAATCTCTTTTCTTTTTTTGATAGAGCTACAAGCTCAGTGGATCAGGGGAATGCTGTGGACATAGTGTATCTTGATTTCGGGGGGGGGGTGCCGTTGCTCCATGCCGTTGGCCTCTGCACAAATCAAAATAACAAGTTAACTTATAACTACTGTTAACTGCTCTGTTATGAAGTTACAAAATACAATATTTTGGCTAACTGTCAGTCTTCTTTCATGGACTCCAACCAAATCCTGATATATGGTAACTTTTGCTCTGTCTTTCAACATCTAAATTACAAAGCATATCTGGAGCATGGACATTCAGGAGGACCTTGCTTATATGTTTGCATTATCCTCACACAGATGAAATTTTTTAATTCAGTTTTTGAAAAAGCACCCTATCCATCTATTCAAACTCTTAAATATAGATCAGACTAAGATTTTCTATTCTCTTTACCAACCTAATGTGCTACAATCAGAGAGGTCTTCCATCCTCATATGCTGTCTGGCTTTGCACTAAAAGGGTAATAGAAAATCTAGAACGTTATTTCCTGGAGAGTGAATTTTATAGAGGGAAAGGGATAAATGGATTCTCTCTGAAACAGAAAATATCTTGTTTCCTAATTCTTCCTCAAAGATAGCTTATCTCATGGGATAAAAAACATATCAGAATGATTGCCATCTTTGCTCATTTGGCAAATACTTGTAGGCAGCAAAGGAGAATCGAGCGTAACATTTGGGGATAGATCCTTCCATCATAGACAGGCAGCAATATTTTATTTGATAATACTATTTTTATGATTATTTTATGAGATGGTTATCCGATTTCTGAGATAGTATATCAGTAGGTTATACGAATGTTCTTTGATCTCAGAAATGCAGTGTGTCGGTGGAGGTTCTTCCCAAATCACGAAGAACTATCCTTTTGATATATTATATAGGTAGCAGAGAGGTGGTGTTGGCTGAGACACATGGTGTGGCCACTTTCCCCTTCATTCAACAGTTAATGAGGTTAAGAGGAGGAGGGGAGCGGAAATAGGGTTTTGGAGTTAATTCAGTTGCCTTCCTCTTTAAAAACCCAGAGCTTGTTTTTCCCCTAGTTGTATCATTCTGAATTCTTCTGGTACATCATATTGCATTTTTAAATTACTCCCATTTTAGTGGTGTCTGTTCCCTGCAGGAGGGACCACTTGCTATGATGTGTGCTGCTCATTTGATTCTCAGAGAAAGACGCTTGTAAATCTGGGCTAATAAACACGTAAAAATACTGATAAGTCCTTTGCAATTAGCAGCTGAAATGGTGAGTGCCACTTAGTACTTTCTAAAGTGGCATTGTGATATAGCAACACATGAAATAATTTCCTGGAAAGAAGCAAGATGCTTAGGAACAAACATTTACAGCATCCTATATTTCTGTCCACTGTTGTGAGCTCTTTTTCTTGATGCTAAGTCTTTGAGGGCTACCAAGTATGTACTGGCTAGTGTCTGTGAATTTCCATTTCATTTTTAATTGGGATAAATTTGGAGCCATTGTGGTTGTAGAAGAACACCAGAGTCCCATACAGTGACCCATATGAACGGCTCCTTCTAATGCAATGGTATGGGGGTTGTAACATAGGTGAAGCTGTGTGCATTACACTCAATTCAAGGAAGATGTGAATATCCTCCCCCCATTTTTTTACAGAACTACTCTTACAGTTTAGCAAAGGCCTAAAACAGGACTCAACAGACTTCTGGCAGATCTCTGAGTGATTTGCGGTAGAAGAGAAAGGGGTTCTGAATCCCCATTGTTCAACAGCATCAACAGCAATATGACTCATGATCAAGGTGTCTCCCCTGTCAGGTAAGACCTGCCAAGGAAACTAAAAAACATCTCCATGTATGTGACAAACGGCAGCAAGAGTCTTAATAGCACAAGGATGGAAGAATGAGGAAATTCTGACTAAAGAACTGTGGCAAGAGAAATTGATGGATTATGCGGAATTGGCGAAATTGACACATAAACTATGTGACAAGGACAACTGTGACTTTAAAGAAGAATGGGAACCTTTTACAAAGTATTTAAAGAAACAACAAAATGAACTGGACTCCTTGGCAGGTTTTGAATAAACACTCACAAACTTTTTATTGGTAACATATAGATAAATTAAGGATCCATACAATGTTATAACATGCAGAGAATAATATGTGTTGAGAAACCAGAGAGAGCAACTGAGGGAAGTCTGGGTTTGGTGGGTGGGTGGGGCTTTCTTTCTTTCTTTCTTTTCGGGAAATGGGGGGGGGGGAGGATGTCTTTTTTTGATAAATTGTTATGTTGAAATTCCTAATAAAAATATTTTAAAAAAACAAGGCAAAGAAAACAGCAATATGACTCTTCCCACCAACAGTTGCAGACCTTGGGGTCTCAGATTTCAGCAGTGGCTGTGCGGTGCCAAAATTCAGTGCCCCTTCGCCTCTTGCACTCCATCCTGTGGCACCCCCAAGGCTCCGCGCCCAGTGCAACTGAACCGACTGCACTCCCCTAAACCCCCCTTTGTCATCACACACCAATTGGACTGATGGAATGAAGAAATGCTGTGAGCGACCAGACATATATTTTTGTGTGGAAAGATTGTGGCCACAGCTCAGTTCTGGGACTTAAAACCAAACCCCATTGTCCAGCAGATGCTCAGGAGCACCCCGCTATTTCAGCCTAAGCACATGACTTTTGCATCTGGCCCAAGTTAGTGGGTCTCAGGGTAGATCCCACAAGCCTGCCCTCCCCTGTTCTAGCTGCAATGCTAGTCAACAGGGGAGTGGATCATTGCTGCCACCCCTTTTGTTTTCTCTGGTCTTTTTTATTATTTGGTAGGTTAAAAGGAACAGCTCTGAACACTTTTGACAACAGATATGGAAGCAGTTAACAGCCAGTCTGAGCCAGTGTTCATCAAATGCTCTACTAGGTTGAATGGTTGAGC